TTAATAGAATATTTGACCAAGTAGTCTAGTCCATATGAATAGAAGTCACATTACAGTGTAATCATGTAGTATAAATGATTATACTTTAAAATGTTATTAATTTTTAGTTGTATTCTAATTCAAACTCATACAAGTGATTCTGCAAGATCTTAGCTGGATATCTTGCAGGGTAAGACCAGTTGGCAGTGTTTTTTTTCCCACTTCAGAACCAGAATTTTAAATAGCATCTGTATCTGCCTTCTCTCAGGTCCTACTCTAAGGCAAAAAAACGAAATGATGTAAAAATAAACTATTGGCAATATTTTTCTACCAAATCCCTAGAAACTTTGCTATTAATTAAAACACACATATGACTTTTAACATCATTTGCTTTGGGGAGAAGTTTGTTTTTATTTTTGTAATCAAAGTGTGTTATTTAATCATATGTGGTCATCTTAATAACAAAGTGTAATTATTAGCCATTGGTATACAATCAGAGCCCAATAGATTTAATTTTAGTTTGTATGAATATTTCTAACTCTTGTAAGAATAGATATTTCAAATTTTTTTAGTTTTTTAAGATACAAAATGTTTTGTTTTAAAAAAATAAAAAATTGTGAAACTACTATTTGGATTCATTTGACGACTTTATAAATCTCTAATAAATTGTGAAATCTTGGTGCTTTTATCTTTTCCTATATTGTAAATATTTTGGTCCTTTATCTTCTTAATGATTATTTCATTATTAATCATCAATGGGAAAACATATACACATCCCTGGTATGTGAGGGAAATTAGTTCAAGGACACCTCCACCCAACAGATACCAAAATCCATGTGTGCCCAAGTACCTTATATAAAATGACATAGTTTTTACATATAACCTATGGCCATCATCCCATATTCTTTAAATAATCCCTAAATTACTTACAATACCTAGTACAGTGTAAATGCTATGTACATTGTTGCCATACTATATTTTTATTTGTATTATTTGTTATTGTTTTATTTTTATTGTTTTTTCTTTCTGAATATTTTTGATTCACAGTTGGTTGAGTCCGTGGAGAAAGCCCTGCAAATGCAAAACCTGCAGATATGAAACCTAGAGATACAGAGGATCAACTGCAAGGAAAAAATGAAATTAGATTTTGGAATTACTAGGTTTAAATTCTTATTAAAATTTCTAATACGAATGATTTTCACTATTCTTTTGTCCTTCTATGAACTATTTGTGAAGTAATTCTAAATATTGTTTTTAAAACCTGAAAAAACAGGGGGTTCTATTGGACCCAGAAGACTATTTTTACTAGTATGCTAGAGTGGTGAGCATCTACTAGGTGAAGGGTTGAGACACAATGAATAAGATACAAAGAGTGAGATACATTTTTAATATATGTATGTTTATCAGAAATCTCAGGATGGTCATGTAAAAATACCAGCAGTGTTGACAGAATCTGAAGTACGTTGTACATAGATCTCCTCTGGGAGTTGGTAAGTTTTTGTTCCAACGTTTGTTATTAATTTCTTAACATAAAAATCACTTAATCTCCCTAGGCCCATTTTTCCAACTATAAAATGAGGATTTGTATCAGAATCTGTGATCATCTACAGGTAACCTTAGCCTAATTTGTCTTGAGCTGTGTTTTATTTGAGCATCAAATATTTAAGAAGAGAAAAAAAATTCCTATTTATTACAATCTACTCTTCATTATTTACACATGATCAACTTTATTTATTTACATTACCACCTTGGCCTATTAAGGCATTTAAATTTTTATTTTTTATTTTTTATTTTATTTTATTTTATTTGAGTTGGAGTCTCACTCTGTCGCCCAGGCTCCCGGCCACCGCAGCCTCGACTTGCTGGGCTCCAGCAATCCTTCCGCCTCAGCCTTCCGAGTAGCCGGAATTACATGCGCACGCTACCACGCCCGGCTAGTTTTTTGATTTATTGTAGAGATGAGGTCTTGCCTGCCCAGGCAGGTCTCAAACCCGCGGGCTCAGGCAATCCACTCACCTCAGCCTCCCAAAGGCGCGGGATTACAGGCTGAGCCACTGAGCCCGGCTTAAATTTTTCTTTTTGTGAACATTTTTTTACTCAGGATTATGCACTATATTATGACTCAGTATACAATTTGTCTTCTACCTTTAAAGAATGTATGTCTTGGCGTGGAACTATATCTATAAAATAATTTAAAACACAAGTAAATAATTGGAAGGAATAAATGACTGTCACAAACATGCAAGGTCAGAATTATTTGATTTATCAATATTTCCCTCATCAATATAATCCCATTCAAATCAGTTATGAGAAAAAATATATTCTCCATTCTCAAAGACTTACCCAGAAAGAAAAAGCACAAACATGCTACCTAGTTTAGTTTGCTTATCTTCTCCATCCCTTCATCCATACCACCTACATGATATTACTTATCTAGAATTTATGTCAGTGTTATTTAAAATGCTGCCTCTTATAATAAATGTTCCTACACCACAGCACATAATCTGATAAACATTTTTATTTTCACAAATATTAATAAATAACTAGAATGTTTTATTCCCAGATATTGTGTAAATGGAAATATGCACCAATAGCATGTGATTTGGATATATGAAGGATAACTGAGCCCAAATGGTTTCTCAGGGAAAGGTCAGATTGCTGATACAGCTGAAATTCTAAGCCAAGATATACCTTGCATTCTCAATGGGTGTAGTAGACTCCATTATTCTTCCCCAGAATTGGTTTCTCCACCCTCTTGAACCTAGGTATGGTAATTTGACTTATTCTGGCAGATTAAATATGGATTGATGATGTTCTCACATCAGAAGTTTTCAGAGTTAGGTCCCTCAGCTTTCCCTTCTTTTCTAAATTCTGTTCTGTGATCCTGGGACTGGAACTCTGAAAAAATATGTCACTTTTCGCAGTTTGCTTCCAGCTGGGTTGTCTCATTGTGGAACTTTAGAGAAAATGGAAGGAGAGATTCACTTATTCCTGTCAACACTGTTCCTGCAAAAGTTCCTCACTCCTGAAGCAGCAATATGTTCCAATAGCAGTTTCCAGAATTTTTATACACTTGCAGAAACCACTGGAGAGTGTCCATCCCTCAAGAGTCTGATTCTCAGCACCGTGGGGAACTCTGCATGCAGCTAGGTTTTGATAACCTCCAACTTGTCCTTGTCCAGTCCTAAATGTTAGAGTAGCATCCCTCAGTTACTTTCTCATTGTTACTGTCTCACTGTTTCCTTTTGCCTTTGAAGTCCTCTATTCTTTATATGAAATGATCTCTAGTCCAGCAACTAATATTAGAGGAACCCATGACAGAAACAGAGCCAGGACACCCAGCCCTAAGCTCCTTTCTTTCTACTGATCTCCTGCCTTTCAAGTAGGTGTAGATCTGTCCTTTGGGGTCTTGGGTGAGTGTGGTGATGTCCTAAAGAAATTGTGTTGAAAGTTGGGCCTCTGTGTACTGAAATGGTAATGAGAAAAAAGAGCAAGTCCAGGGCAGCAATCACTGAATCCTTTTGAAAAAGTCTATTACCTTCACTATCCCTCACTTTTACAGGTTTCATATCTTAGCAACGCCTAATGTCTCTATCTTGTGCCCTTTATAATTGTGTATTATTGTTACAGTCTACCAGCTCTATGGTTTGGAAATTTGACACTCAAATCTCAGGGTGAAATTTGATCCCAATGTTGGAGGTGGAGCCTAATGGAAGGTATTAGTCATGAGGGCAGATATGAATATATTAATGCCCTCCCTTTGTGTGTTGGAGGAGTTAGTTCTAACTCTATTAGTCCCCATGAGAGTTAGTTGTTAAAAAGAGCTTTAAAGCTCTATCTTTTTCCTGCTTTTTCTCTTGTCATGTGATCTCTGCACATATTGCCTTCCTTTCTCCTTCTGCCTGATGTCCTAACCAGATGGTGCTGGTGCCATGCTTCTTGTGCAGTTTGCAGAACTATAAAACAAACAAACTTCTTTTTTTAATTTTTTTATAAATTAACTAGTCTCAGGTATTTCTTTATAGTAACACAAATGGACTAAGACAACCAGTTTATTCATTTACCTAAAAGATTCTTTATAAGAATCATTAACTCGTTTCCCAGTATGGGATATAATTTCCTTGTCTTAATTTTCCCTAAGCATGCCCTTCTATTTTAAAAAATATCAAAAGTTATATTTATGGCTGATAGTAACATTTTCAAGGATATTCAGTCATTTAGTAAAATGTTATTTTATAGAACAGGTATATTTTCAAAATAAAGCATATATTTTGAAGGTGAAGAGGAGACCATTTTACTTTAGTACCAAGCTCTCCTGTTTTTATTTGATGCAAATGAACATTTAATTTTCTTTAAGTACACATGACACCAATCACAATCAAAGCAGTGAGTCACTCAGCACCACTGTCCACTGTTCATGTTGCAGCCAAGAAATCCACAGAACAACCACACAACCTCTCTTGAAGTCAGTTCCAATACCACATGGGAGGCAGGCAACAAAGCATGAGACCTCTGGTCTTGCATACTTTTCCTGAGTAGTAAGCACTTAATTTGTTAAAACATCACTTTCAGGTCATTTCTATATTAGCATAGTGGGTACTACATCAGAGTTCGGTCATTGCTTCTTAATAATCCCACTGTTGTGGTTACCCAAAGTCAGAGCTGGAATAGCTAAAACAAAGGTAGGTTTGTAAATAGCTCTGGTAAACCCTCACCTGAGAAGACATCACCCTGCTCAGAATATTTTCCTCATGAATCTCTCCAAAGGAATACAGATCCCCGGCGCCAAGCCACTAAGAATCAGTATCGCTCAAATGGTCAGTACCAGGCCCCAGTAGCAAGGGCAAGGATTGATTCTACCTTGAAATATTAACATTTCAAAGATAAAAAAAGTATTCCTTTTAAAGGTTAGTTGAAAGGTAAACACAAGTCTAGTGCATGGTAGGGAAGAAATAAAAATCTTTAAAACAATGTCCCCATTTTTTGAATTAAAATTCTGTTTCATTTCATTTACTTTTCAGATTTACCTAGAGAATCTTCTTTCAGAATGATCAATGCAACATTCACCAAGCCAAAACTTCACACCACCATCCACCATTAAGAAAAAGAATGCATCAATGGTGTACCAATGTGGGGAAAAATGGCTTAATTTGGGACCCACAGCTGTGCTACAAAAGGACTGACTTCAGACTTTCAGATTCAACAGTGAGTGCAATTCATGTATTTCTTGTCATTTTTATTCTTTTTTCCCAGCATTGAATTATGAACAAAATGATAAGTGAAGGGAGGTGGGATTAACAGTAGTCAATATCTGTCTGGGGATGGGGAGACACCCCTTATCAACAAGAGTGCCTGAACGATGCATATTTGTATACTTAACCCTTAACTCTACCCCACAACTTTAAAATAAAAAATATTGATTTAAAAAAATGATAAGTATACAGTGAGTAGCCATAGTTTGCAATCAACATTTTGCTATATTTGCTTTATTATATACCTAACTTCTTTCCTTCCTTAAACATTTAATAATCCTTTCAGTTACTTATATACTTATTCATTCCTGTATTCATTTTGCTGCTTTTTAAAGCAAGTTTAGATGAGAAAATTTGCTAGTTCAGGTGAACAGTGATTCTGCTTGTATTTAATACACTGAAAAAAATGAACAATGACAATGGCATCTGTAGTGAAGAAACACTCATGTGGTTCCAAATTTTTAGTTATTATTCTGACAAAACTTATGCTTTCCTATGGAGAGCTGGAGAATTGCAAATAATAAAAGTACCTTTTCTAAATCATATCAATTCTCCCAACTTCACATATTTTAGATTTTTGAGGTAGATCTAACCATTTCCATGGCATATGGGCAGTTGGGCAGTATAATGTTTGTCCCTTGGTCTGTCACCCTTAACTTTCACATGTCCTAGATACTACATCGCTCAATATAGTAATACAGGTGTGGGGATCATTCTAAGAACTAGTGTTGATAATTACTGACATACATTGAGAGCAATACTAGCTAATATCTTTGTTGAGTGAGCATTTCATATTTGGTATTAGGCCAAATGTTTCTCAGGGATAATCTCATTGAATTTACAACAATTATCTCGTCATTATATCAGTGAAATTTTAAAGGTTTAATAACCTTACTCAAGCATTTACAATGAGTAAGTGTTCAGGAAAGCATGAATGCACATTGAGTCTAAGACTATAGTGAAAGCTATACAGGTATTGCTGCATTATGAACATAGGCGTCTTCTTTTTTTGCATAGAAACTATTGAAAGAACACGTAGGGTTCTTAAAGATACTTTTTAATTCAAGTAATACAAATCGATTATATAGAAATGCAAAATATGTTTAAGCATAAAGAAAAATAATCATTTTTTGTCATGCATTATGTTCTAGGTTTGACACTGGCTGTGTAACTTGGGGCAAATGCTAGCGTTTCCCTGGCCTGCAGTTTCCTCACTAGCAGAGTGAAATTTTCACAATGCCTGTCGCCTGTGAAAATCTCACATGCAGAGATTCCACGTCTTGTGTGCACGGTGGCATATACTCGGAGCTGGACGTTTCACACTCACAACATCCTCACCATACCCACCTCCCTGCTGTGTCAGTCTCCCTGTCTGGGTACTGGCTCATACTGGCGGGAGTCATACCTTGCTCACTCTCCTATTCCCTGCTTTAAACCTTTGACTTACAGAGCCCAGTAAGAGTTCCAGCTGATTACCTGAATAATGCTCAGGTATCTTCTTCATGTAATACATTATTCAGTTAAAAATAAAAAAAATTTAAAAATTAGCAAAAGAAAGCAATTTAACAAATTGCTTTAACAAATGGATTGATTTTTCTCCCTCCCATTTTCTTTTTTATTATTAAATTTTGATTTCTGCAATCTGCATCTTTGTTTCTCCTTGGGATTTTAATTAGATAGTAGAATTTAAAAATAGGTTCTCCAGTATATTAAGAAAGTTGCAGTGGCATTTAATTTATGTGGGACAGCTGGTGGATTTCTGATTTGAGAGGATATTTTTTTAAAAATTCTGTCATCTGAACTTTGCTTTGGTAACGCTGTAAATTAGCAGCTATTCATTCTTTAATGAACAAGGGTTCATGTAAATTTCAGCTATGAATAGGCAATCAAGATTTCTTTGGGCATAATGGGTTATTTACCAGGCTTCCATTTCAATTTTGAACTCTTCGCTTCTTTAAACACCATCCTATATAATTTTTCAGCCATCTAATTATGTATGTATGTATTTACCATATAGATATTGCCTTTGTGCCTATATCCACTCCAAATTGCTTTATTAAAATAATGGCAAAATCTCACTCTACCTGAAGTGGAGACATAATACTGAGTTCAGTAATGATTAGGCCTGCAGTGCTGGCAATGATTGAGGTCTAGAGCAGCCCCTCAGGGTGGCTTCAGAGGGAGTGTGCCATCATGGCTGCAGTGGCAGATGAGGGAGCCAAGGCACTTGTAATTTTAGACATTTCATTACTTTTTCCCCCCACTGGCTTAAAAGTTTTACTTCAAGAACAATCCTCAGCTGTGAAAAAGATGGTCTATATGTGTGCCCCCCCCCCATTTCTGATCTGTTATAGACCCAAACCCACTGACCTGAACTGGGTTTCTGAGACTGGAATGAGTGCCTAAAAGGACTTAGGATAGAGAAAACGGGCAATGATTTTCTCATTTCTACCCCTCCATCCTTCATTCATCTTACTTTCTTTTGATTAAAGTGCCAGGGAGAAGGAAACGAGTCTTCCCAATTCTGTGCCTGTGTTCCCAATAGTCATACCCATTGTGAGAGTGGGAGTGACCCTGCTGGCCCACTGAATCTCACCACCACCTCCTCGTGGGATCCCAGCAAGTCCCACAACCTCTCAGGATGTTACCTGTCTCCTTTTTGGAACACACGATGATTTAGAAAAAGTCTATCTATTAGGGGCATTCAAGAACTAACATTCTGTGATTGTTCTCCTCAGTCTAACCTGAAGTCATCTGTTTACAGACATGATTACCCTATTTATGCATCTTATTGTGTTTATACATAAGAGGGTGTCAAAAAATATATACACATGTTAAGAATGTTATCTATGTGTTATTTTTATGCTGATGATAACCACTTTGAGCACCTCTTGTAATTGCAAAAGTCAAATGTGACTTGTATTCATCTTTTGTTATTGTATATATTGAGTATTACAATTTTAATACAATTTTTTCCTTTCTTAAAATTGTGTACACATTTGTTGGCACCTTCTGCATGCACACATGCATGCACACATACACATATGGTTTGATAGACTGGATTTGGAAACAATTCATGGTTCTCAAAGCTTTTATTTATGTCCTATGCAATATCTATCCCAAGTATGTTCACCGTAACATAGTACTGAGTCAGTGCAGGGCCCTGTTAAGTCCAGTCTCCTTCCTGTGAAGTTGCCTGAGCTACCCTTGGGACAATCAGCACATCTTTAAAAAACACAGTGAAAAATAGAATGCAAAAGGCGTAGCCCTGGAAATCTTCCAAGGCGAAGGTTGTGGGCTTTGCATCCTTTGCCCCAAACATGTCATTTCCTGTGTGACACAAAGCATCCAAAGATGTCTGTTTTTAACAGAATCAGAAGCCTGGCAACAACCTAAGCTCAATTATGTGTATCCATATACTTGCTGTAAAATATTTAAAAATGACAGGCCGCTTTAACCACTGCCAACTCTGTTCCACTCTCCTCCTCCTCCCCTAAATGCTCCCTTTGGATTTGCAAGGTTATCGGTGATTTCAGCTCCGCTTTCCTCCCTGAAAGAAGCCTCCATCACAGCCTTGCTGGCTCTCATCAAAGGGCATAGCTAAGACCAAGTACATGAAAGTTTAACGTGGCTTCACTCGGTATATTCCAAGTAAGTGGAGGGGGCTTCATTTTTCAGTTGTCCGGTTTTCATTGTCTTCTTGGTATTTTGAGGCATTATGAACCCATCTAAATTAAGCAATTGCCACATCTGTCATCCAACATCGCAAGGCTCTCTGTACACTGCAGAATGGCAGAGAAGCTGAGCTGCCTTTGTGCACTTCTCTCTGCAATGCTTCCAGAAAGGTCCTGGTCTTTTGGTATGGTGAAAAGCGTACTGCTGTGGTATCATAGCTAAGTGGGAAAGTAACTCTCACCACTCACTTCTCTGAAGAAGGTTTGCAGCCTGCATCTCACTACAACTTATATTCCCCAAATGCAAACCTAAACATGTCACTTTCTGCCCCAAGGTGTGACATTACCTCACAACACGCTGAAATACTACTAGCCTTTGTGACATGTTACTCAAAGCCTTTAAAAAGGCCCAAACCTAAAGAGACTGGCAGTAGTGGGAAACTGCCAGGAAGGGGGGCTGGGATTCGCAGTTGAGGGAAACTGCCAGGGAAGGGGGGACACATCTCATCAACAAGGGTACCTGCATAATGAACATGTGTATACCTAACCCTGAATTGTACCCCACATCTTTAAAATAAAAAAATTAAAAGTTAAAAAAAGCCCAAACCTGCTTCTCTCTACCACCTGTCCACAGTGCTTTGCTGCCCTTTCCCACAAATCTGAGCCTCCTTGACTCTCACCCCACCCCCAGGTAAACCTGGCTCCCTCTTGGGTGCTCTGTGGGTGCCTGGTTACCCGTATGTGGTGACAGGTGTGGGAATGACTGGGCACTTCCCAGATGTTTCCACTGGATTGAGCGCTTGTCTGTGCTGGGCTCTACAATTTCTCACGCATTTTTAAATGATCATCAACATATATGAGTACTAGCATTCCATGACCCACGTTGGGGGTGTGGCTAGAAGCTTTTTAGGAATTTTTCTTCAGTTCTAGACCCGACATCTGTGCAGCACTACTAGCCTCTGCCTCAGCAACCCAGGCCTGACACGAAATCTGGTCTTGGTTACAGTCATTCTGATGTAATGTCTCCCCACTGAGGGCGCCTGGCCCGGCCCCCAGCCAGTGGGGAGGAGAGAGGAAAAGAGGAGGCTGTGACCTGAGACTGAGTCCCCCAGAGAGGCCATGTGGGGGAGGGGGGCTGGAGCCCTTTGAGGCTTCAAGGGGGCCTCCCACTTACTTGGATCAGTCAATTAGGTAAATATTACTTCTGGGCCTGTCTGGAGAGAAATAACAAACAACGTATTCTGCAAATGGAAAAGCTGATCCAGGCCCAGTG